ACACAATTTGGGGCTATCAAATAAACAGACACGTAGATAGTTGCTAACGTCTGTTCTTCACGTAATAAAGAGATAGGTATTTTTTATCTTCGATGCAAAACGGCTTTAAGAGGTTTAATAATAGTTCATGTGTCACCGAATATAATTTAATACAATGATATTATTGGAAGGAGCTGGTGCGCCTGTACTACAAGTGACCACGACCTAAGGCGTACTAAGCAGATTCTAAAGTAGATTTTATAAGAAAAGCAAGATGACAAAATTTACACATAATAATATATTAATACAAATACTAATTATAAAGTTAAATGTACATTTAAATTTAACATTATGTTTTCATTATTAAATATAATTATTGTAGGACAAATTTTATACCTGTTGACTATTTTTAGTTTAGTTTAGTAATTTAGTTATATCACTGTACAGTCAAAAACACATCACGTTTGACAAGTTTGTTGAAACTTTGAACCGTTCTTATTGTAAGCGGCATAAAGTTGAATGTAAACCTTTTTTTCTTAAGTGTTTTTATCCTATACTTTTGGCTGTGTACTAAGAATCTTTTACTAAGTTATTGCAAAAACTAATATGATTACGTGAAATAAATTCATTTTATCAATTTATCCCTAACCAACGGAAAAAAACTATATTTGGTGTTAAATTTCAAATAAGTATTTTTTTTATGTAAAGACAAATGAGTACACGATCCACTAGATGAGAGAAGGTCATCACCTATGGTTGGTATGGTATGGCCAACACCAGAGTTGTCCTTTGAGAGCCCTGTTGACTCGTTTTTTGATGAAGCCCACATCATAGTGCAAGTGAAACACTTCAGGGGGGGCCTATTCCACACTTACAGGTTCGAAGAAAGATCGAGCGTGATTACAAAAATACTGGTCGTAAGACTCTCTGTTCAGAATTCACCTGGATATCAACCACTGCCTTTTTTATAACATCGAGTGACAGGACGACCAAGTCGTGCGCCTGATGGTAAGATACTTTTTTCTATATCTACGACCTACACGCCTGTTCATAATAGTTACAGTGCCACTCGGAGCTTTAAATTGTAAAGATCGAGTAATTTCACCAAAACCCTGTGATGATGTGACTTCCTTACATCGTCATCCCACCTTTTTATCGCCGTTTTCTCCGGTTCCTGGCCACTTGTTGTTAAATTTTGAATCGTGCTTTAATTCCTTTGCCTCGCCATTCTGTTTTTGTTGCGTCCCATCGCCACTCGCTGCGCGATCGCCGAAGCGAGCACGTCTTCTCGTCGAATTTTTGATCCATTTACCAGTTACCAAAAATCTCTTGTGTGGTAAAACATTTAAAAGATCACAAAACAACTTTAAAATATTTTTTATAAAACCGGATTTATTTCCACTATCCTTTTTTGAATTTTGAACTTTAAACTCGCTGAGCAAGATGCGTGAAGGCTGTGGGGGCTGAGGAGGCTACTACACTCTCCAGGCTACTTTACCAACCAACAGGACGTGCATAAGCAGTGCCAGCAGTGCCTATTAGTACTATCGCAAAGCTGTATTGTATTGTACACGTTCCGGATTGAAGGGTATTTAGAGTCAGTCAGACACGAAGACCTACTGAGTCATGGCCTGTGGCCCAGAATGCATTTGAAATATACATAATTTCTGAGTGTTGAAAATGTCAATAGGCGACGGTAATTACTTTCTATCAGGTGGACCGTGTGACCATTTCTTAAATTCTAAAGAAGATTTTGCAATGTTTTTTATGTGAAACTAAAACACGATTTATCCACTATCATTTTCAACCGCCTTTAAAAAAGGGAGGTGTTACGCGATCCTCTCCTACGTTTTTGAACGGTTTTCAATGATTCTTTTTTGTCAGAAAGGGGCAACCGTAGGTTCTATTTAAATTTGACGAAAATATTCCACCTCTAAGGGTGGCAAATTAGGTGATGAATCCGTTTTATTGGATTTCAACCACTTTCTGTTACTCAACCGATTTGAATAAAATTTGGCAAATAGGTGAAATTCCACAGAGTTATGAGGTCGGTTTTTTTACAAAAAGTCATAATTATTCACTTTTGACTTACCAGTTACTGAATTTTACTAGTCCATTTTACAACACTCGAGATATCTACAGTTTAATGCCTAGGTGACAGAGGCGAAATGTGGATATTCTGCATAAATCAAGATTTCCATCGGCTATATAAGGAATTTGTCAATCTATGCATAATGAAATGAAATGAAATAATTAGCAACATTGTTATATTATTTTATTCTTCCTACATACAACTATCTCATAGTATCGAGTTCTTAGGTTTTCGCGATTGTTACGTATAGGAAATGACATTATTTTTAACCGACTTCAAAAAGAAGGATTTTTTAAATCTTTTAGTTAAGGTATTTGTATCACTAATATCATACATTTGGTCAAATTTAACAGAATTCAAATCCATTTGTTAATTTGTGCTCTATTTGTGTAATTCTATTTGTAGTATTCATTTTTAACCATTTACGAAAAAGGAGGAGATTGTCAATTCGACTATATTTTGTGTGTATACTACGCGATTACTCTCGGCATTTGGGAACGAATTTTTATGACTCTCTTTTGTTGGAACGAGGATACCTCAGTGTTGGACCCATTTAAATTTGAAAAAAATATATAAAATATATAAAAATATATATGGCAGTACTTGCCTGACGAATGCTTTCACAAGGCGCTCTACTGCTACGTAGATCTTATGTAAATGTAGAAATGTATTTATTATATTAGTTTGTTTGAATATTTAGTTGAGATACTAATTCTTTGTAATTTTAATTAATTATGAAGTAATTACATTCATTCTTTAACTTACCTACTTATATTTTCGACATAGGCTTACCTATTTCAAATATGCACTTTTTCCACCGCTAACTATTGAAATGAAATGAATGAACTATTTTTAAAACGCACATTCTCATAGCCCCGCACTAGGGAAACCACGATACATCGTGGATGACATGGACACACACATAGATAATCAAAAATTACACTTAAACTCACGAGAGACATAAATGTAGGCCATATAAATATTTCTCCCGGCCCGGAAGTCGAACCCGTGACCTCTGCGCGGCAGTCCAGAATGGTAACAGTTCGGCCCTCGGGGACCGAACGGCAGTTAATGCGTGACTATTACGTTTTGCTAAAAAAGTTAACAACCTCGATTGTCCTCCAAATTAGATGCTGATACACTTCCAACACGATTATGTCATTGTTTGGATAACGTGTTTCTTGAGGCAACAGCAGGTACTTGTTAAAACATTAGTGGCATGTTCAACGCTCACTGATCTTTTTTTGTGAATTAAAGCGATGGGACATACAAGGCCTACACCTGGTGGATAGCGACACGCCTATCCATAACAGTTGTAGTGCTACAAGCTTTAAATCACAAAGATCTGAGGAAAACTGTGGCTGCGCCCGTAACCCTGAAACATAAAGTTGACAAGTTCCATGTGGCTGTAATTTAACCAGCACCCTTACTCTTCAAAACTGGAACGCAGTAATGCTCACATTATTGCAAGGGGAAAAAATAGGTAATGTGACGGTATTTCCCTGGGCGAACTCTTTCATAATGAGCTCTACCGGTACTGAAACTGAACCGAACATCACGAACTTGTAATCCTGTTCCCTTCAATTAAATCTAATATTATAACTGTTATAATAAAATTACCTTAAAAGTTCGTGGATTCTTTTTTCATAGACTCGCACTAGGGAAACCCTTTATCGCGGGTGCCATGGACACACACATAGACAACCACAAATTACACCCAAACTCACGAGAGAAATAAATGTAGGCCATACAAATATTTCTCTCGGCACAGGAATCGAACCCGCGACTTCTGCGTGGCTGTCCGGCATGGTAATTGTTCGGCCACGGAGGCAATCAAATCTATTTGCCAAGTTTTATTGATAAGCTAAGTAGGTATTTAAGTGGTGACCCATATAACATTGAACAGTATTCAAAATTTTCACCTAATACCAGCAACAACAAAAAGTATCGGTAAGTGGGTAACCTACATAATAGAACAGTGCAATAAGAATACTATTCAATTATAAATACTTCGAAATATTGACATAGGTAAATTCTAAATCTAATAAAATCTGTTTTTCAAAACTACTAATAAAAAATGGCTAGACCTTGAGAGAAACCAAATATTCAGCTCATTAGATTTATTTTATTATCACGAATGTAGACTGTGGAGTCTCGTATTTTGGATAGTTGCGACAAGAGCGTTGCTCCCTGCTGATAACTATTAATATACAATATGTCTATATCTATCTCATGCCTCAGCTGGCTAGTGAGCCAATCGCTAGCCAGCATAAGGTGCCCACTGGGCCGTCGCCACGCTCAGTCGAAAAAAAAACGTACAAAATCGACTCAGCGGCAGGAGAAATCCAAGCTAGATTAATTTTATTTTCTTTATCACTTATTTACTTTATCAATTATAGCCACTGTACATAGATTTTGCTTCCTACATCATGCTATGCCTTTTAAAATCTAACAGAACGAAAGTTAAATCATGCGAATAAATTATAGACGCTATGTAACATTCGATTTAACATTGAAATTTTCGACTCCCTCATTTTGTTTTTGAGTTAAAATGCGCTTAAAATGGCAATCGCTTCTCCGTACTTAACTAAATAAGTCAAAATGATGATTACTCAGTCATAATGCTTACGTAGATAAAAATAACTTTGTTGCTCCTCTCCATGATTAGATATTCATTTATGTAAATATCCTTGATTTACACACTGGCTGCTATCGTTTAATAGTCAGTCTACATCTAATAGTCAATTGTGTTTATTGTGCGCGCTCGTGTAAAAATTAGTGAGATAAATGGAAAAATTGGTCTGATAAATAATTTAATTTTGTCCAGAAATGTTCAAATTAATACAGTGGGTAGATACGGCGCCGCAGTAGGTATCGTACAATACGCGTGTTTGTGATAGTGCTTGTTTGAGCGTCGCTTTGTGTTGGTGGTCCTACATACAGCAGTTTTTTTTTATCTGCCGAATAAAACATCTTCAAACGGCCGCGAACCTTTTCACTACTAAACCGGAATATTAATGTGAGTATTTTACTTCACATTTTTTTCCTCTTCTGCGAAGTATTTCCAACGAAAGGTTACATTTTTATTATCTGCGTTTAAAAGTTTTTATACGTGATCAAAAATAAACTCTAGTAGTATTAGAAGTGATATTAAAGGTTGTCCCTTCGCACTATGAAACTATTTTGGCGCGATCGTGGAAAATTGAACGAACATTTTTATAAATATCGCGCATGGGTTCAATTATTTCGAATTTCCGTATCAATGGTGTGGCTCACAGCTTATTATCATTCAAAGCGGAACGGCGAAATGTGTTTTAGCAACCAATAGTAATTGACATTTTTATTGAATTGATATTCAATTACTTTTTATGTGATATTACTCCACTAGTTTGTTATAATTATTAATACAAAGATCGAACACTCGGAAAAAAATTCCTTCGATACGGCCGGATTCTAACCGACGTCTTCTAGCATATGTGAGATGTACCTACTGTTGTAAATGTATAAACTTTTTTGAATAAATGAATTAAAAAAAAATATCGTGCCCGACGCTATACTTAGTTGATATATCTGTATTTTTATATTAAAAATTATAACAAACTAGTGGAGTAATTTCAAATAAAATATAATCGAATATGAATTCAATAAAAATTTAAATACAATGAATAAAGACATCTCTAGCCAGGGCTAGTATCTGTAAAGGTATTTATCTAGGTGACGAAATACTTAAGATTTTTCATAGCGCTATGGCTAAAAAGTCGTTGAAAAACCAAATACAAAGACACGACAACAAACACATAGAAAAACGTTGGGGCCCGCCGGTTCCTTCCGTTGCTTAGTTGGTATAGCGTCTGCCACGGTATGCTAGAAGACGTCGGTTCGAATCCGGCCGGATCGAAGGAATATTTTCTGAGTGTTCCATCTTTGTATTAATAATTATAACAAAAGTAATTTGTTGTTTTGACATTTTGTCACTTAAGTAAAATAATTAAAAACTATTGGTAGATGAATATAACAATACAATACAAATACTCTTTATTGCACACTAACATAACTACATAAAAATACAAAATACGGGTACAGCCGGCGGCGTTATTGCTATCTAGCAATAAGGTAGTACAATAGATATATGGAAATAATCCTTCTACAGACATTAATTTGATTTATAAAATGGTGAGTCTATCTAAAATATACAAAATAATTTAATTAGCATCTTCATTTCTGTTTTGAACTCTATTATCTGCGATCAGAATGATTATATTCTCCCTAATATTAACACCCGGATTTAAATTTGACAATCAGGACATTAGAAGTATTACACATTCGAAATATCTCCGTTTGGATTGTATCAACCGAAAACCGAATAATTTGCACAAGTAATATCCTATCCTTTATTAGCTATATAATTCCTTTCCAATAAATAGAACCGTACTCAAAGTTAAGGTGTACTTAAATACAATCCTAAAGATTTTTATTCTACAAATAATATAAGAATAAGTTAAATAACAATTACTTGATTTTATTTCACTACTTCACATAGCACAGCGTTTAAACGCTAGTAGAAGTAGCCGAGAAACCGAGAAAACCGAGAAAAATTTTCAAAATTGATTCTGGTTTGCTTATTCTGGGTTACTTTTGTTATGTTTGGAAATTCCCTAGTTGAGACCAGATAACTGCTGGGGTTGTTTGGCACTTTATTATTATTTATATAACTTAGTGATAAATCCCTAGTAATATTATAATGCGAAAGTAACTCTGTCTGTTACGTTTTTACGCCTAAACCGCTGAACCAGTGTGGTTGTTGATTTTTATTCTTACAATCCAAATTAATATTATAAATGCGAAAGTAACTCTGAACCAAATTTGATGACTATTTATTTTATTTTATTTATTTTATTTATTTATTTAGATTCACTTACAGTTATAACAACAATACCTCCATACATTGATTACATTCTTGAAATATCTTAACTAATTGTATAACTAATTAAAAGTGAACACAGCATGCATAAACAAACTTAAGTATGAAATAATATGAGTTCTTAACTAAACAGGATGAAAATATAAAACAAAGAGAATAATAAAAATTTCAAAAAAGACAACAAAAGCAGTGACCACCAATGTCAATTCCAATATACAACAATACAATATATATCAACAGTATAGATAAAATTATTAAGTTACAGTTTGGATAAAATTGATCTGCGAAATCTGTACAAAGAGTCGGAAAATATGTCACTAGACCCGCTATGCTGGTTATACAGTCTGCAAAGCCTGGGAACACATGAATTAAAGCCAAGAACAGTCCTGCGGAATGGTGGTGCTAAAGGTGTGATAGCGTACCTTGGGTATCTAGAGGGTACTCTAAGGTTAAATTTTGCGAGCAACTGTGGACAATCTATATATGATCGTAAAATTTTGTATAAAAACATCATATCTAACAGATCCATTCTTTTAGCGAGCGGCAGCATTTTGAAAAAAAATAGTCTATCAGAATATGATTACAGCTTTCTGGCTAACCCCTCTGAGTAAAATAAGTGCCACAGAAATCTCTTTTGCACTCGCTCAAGCCTCAATGTGTGGATCGCATAATGGGGGCGCCAAACCGGGCTTGAATATTCCAAAATACTACGAACTAGGCTATTGTACAGAAGTATCTTTGTAGCGGGAGAGCGAAATACCCTCCCGTTCCTGATTACGAAACCCAGAACCTTAGAAGACCTTCCAATTATATTTTCCATGTGAGGTACGAATGTCAATTTAGCGTCAAGTAACACTCCTAGATCTCTAATACAATTTACTTCTTCCAATACTTGTTCGTCAATTTTATAACTAGACGGAATAATGTTTAAATTTCTGGAAAACTTAATGTGTAAACATTTCTTAATATTTAAGTTCATAAGATTATCAGAGCACCATTCTTGCAGTCTGTCTACATCAGACTGCAATAGACACACATCTACAGGTGATTCAATGACTCTCGAGAATTTCAAATCGTCTGCATACAAATAGGGTATTGAGCACCAAAAACACTCGGAAATATCATTAATAAAGATGTTAAAGAGAAGTGGACCCAAATGCGAGCCCTGAGGAACGCCAGAGGCTATGCTGAAAGTATTTGACTTGTATCCATTAACCACCACGTAAAAAGAACGATCCTTTAAGTACGAGCAAATCCACTGAAACATTGTGCCACCAAAGCCATACACAGATAGTTTTATTAGCAGTACATTGTGGGATACGCGGTCAAAAGCTTTACTAAAATCTGTGTAAATTACGTCCATTTGGCTACCCCTATCTATAGTATCGACTACACTTTCTGCAAACGAAACTAAATTTGAGCACGTAGATCTCGCTTTAACAAAACCATGTTGGTGTGTGGATAGAAATTGTTTAAAATGGTTACTAATAATTGGGTAAACAATGGATTCAAATAGTTTGGCAGGAACCGACAGCAATGAGATTGGACGGTAATTGTTCACGTTGGCTTCGTCACCAGATTTAAATATCGGCACCACCTGAGCCGATTTCCATGAGCAAGGAAATGTTCCTGTTGACAAGGATCTGTTGAAAATCAATTGCAACGGATAAGCCAAACCATCGGCACAGTTGGCGAAAAAGACCGCAGAAATTGAGTCAGGACCTGCGCTTTTATTGACGTCCAGTTTTTTTAATTTATTGAACACCACATCACGAGTAACATAAATAGACGTGGCACCCGCACTACTCATATTAATACGCTGCCAATATTCAGAAAAAGGTGTCTGAGAATTACTGCCAATATCTTGATAGACCAGAGAAAAGTGTGTTGCAAATAAATTGCAAATCTCATCACCAACCGCCGAAACATCTGTGCGATTCGTAATTGTATCAGGATAAGTACTATGACCACCTCTTTTCGATTTCACAAAAGACCAAAAATATTTAGGATTGACGTTGATTTTCTCCTCAGCTAACTGTATATACGCATTATAGCATTTGTTAGCAAGTTTTTCACAGTTCGTTCGTAATAGTTTAAAAGTCAGATTATCCATTGGATTATTATATTTTTTGTATAAAGTTCTATGTTTATTCTTTTCACGTAAAAGTTTTATTAGATTTTTATTGAACCAGGCTGGATATTTTGTTCTGTTTCGGTTAAAATTAATTTTAGGAACAAATTTATTGATAATCTTGTAAATATGATCATAGAATATAGATAGCATGTCATCGACATGATTACAATCAGAAAACAATATATCCCAATTGAAATTACTTAGCTCTTCATTAATGTCTAAATAGTTTGCTTTAAAATAATTAAATCTCCAGTTCAGATTATTGATTTTCAAGCGATTCCCACCAGAGTTGTTCGATAAAGTTATGTCTAAGGGGGGATGATATGTGTCAATAACACTAATTACATTTTGAGATTCACTTACATTACAAAATTGCACGTCCGTTAACACCAAGTCAAGAACTCTGCTCGTCTTGTTAACAATTCCGTTAACTTGCTTCAGACCGTTCATATTGACTAATAGAAGGACATAGGCTACTTTTTGTCACAAAATTAAATCTTAAAGGGGTCAAATAAGGGATGAAAATTTGTATGGCGAACCAACAAAACTATGAAAATTAAAAATAAATATATAAATAATTAAAAATAGTTTCATTCCTATGAAAATTAATATAGTACAGTAAGCTACTCGCAATACTTATTCTACGCAGACGTAGTGGCGGTCACAACTCTTAAAATATAAATGTATAATAATTTTTGTATTTTGTCTTAAAAGGCGACATAGTTAATATTTTAGTAGCACTAGAGCTCTTTGTGAAATACTTTTGTCCAGGGAACCACTGTCAACTTACCTGTATCTGTCTAGCAGTAATGTTAGCATTACTACGTTTCGGTTTTGAAAGGTGAAATTACAAGCACATAGGACTTGTCAACTTATGTCCCAGAGTGGCGGGCGCAGTGGCAGTGCCCCTAAGATCTTTATGATGTAAAGCCTGAGTGGCACTGCAACCATTATGGACAGGCGT